TGAAGGGAGGGCAGGGGAATGGGGAAAAAATAAGAACCAAGAGAGATTATGTAAAGGTGCAAATTTCCAATGATGAATGTCATTATATTGCATACTTTAAATGTACCAATAAAATTAATTTTAAAAACCATCTATACAGATCAGAAGAGAACTGCATCTAAGATCTAATCTAGGCTTTAACAAGAGTAGAAATGGTCTTCATCATTTATGGGACACTTTGTGCTACCAGATTTATCTACCTTTAGTTCTACAATAATCTTATAATAAGTATACTAACCCCCATTTTAAGATTAAAAGATTGTCTCAGAAAACCTGAGTGGCTCAGTCTCCCAATGATAAATGGTGTGATATAAAAAGTATGGCTATGAAAAAATGAAGAGAAGTTAACAACATAAAAATTGATGTTGGGCACAAAAATGTATGTGAAGGAAAGGAAAGCCAGAGAATCAAAGCATGTCATATATCTGACTGGGGCAATTAAATGTACATTTTCAATGTTGTTTGTTGTTGTTGTCATGTTTGTTCAATAAAATGGGGAGAATATCATTGTGAAAGTATTTCAAAGGCTAGTCTCCATTTTCTTCTAAAGGATTCTCTGTGTTAGGTTAATTTTCTCAAAATCTTCCCAATTCTAAGTTTTTCCTGGGCACTTTGTAACCCTGCTCCTCTGGCACTGATACCCTGCATGTTCTCTTGCCCTGAAAACACTAGCCATTCACACTCCAGTCAGGCTTGGAGGTCCAAAGAAAGCATTTTGTTATTATAAATATAAAATGTGTTCATTTCTCACAATTCAGTAAAACTTCAACAACTTCCTCCTCCTCCAAGAATCCTTCCCTGATCAATACACTCCCATCTCTATCTCTGAACAGTCCCCCATTTTTGATATTTTATCAATCACTTGAGGCTGAGGCCTACTGCATATCCAAGTACTTTACTTTGACTCCTTTACACGTTGCTCTTAGGTCCTGTGAGTGTGCTGGCCTGTGTGTATGTAAGCAAGAGCTGCCACATAGGGTACAAAGTAGAGAGCGCCTCCTTGTGAGTGAAGGAGGAAGGGAGAATAAAGAGGAGAGGTTCTCTTAGCTCAGTGGTTCTGGAGCCTGCCTTGCAAGAGCAAAGGTCCCAAGTTGGATCCCGGTACCAAAAAGAGGAGCGGTTCTTGGAGTTCTGTCCTAGCTGCGGGACAAGACTGCCTCAGGTGAGGTAGGGCTCCTGGGAGAACAAAGGAAGAAAACGCCTCCACCTGCTTTAGCCCAGGCGGCTCTCCAGAGCTGTCTTTCTTGGGAGCTCACTTTCAGGGTACAGCCCCCACCCAGCGCAGAGCCAATCACTCTGAATACAAGGGAACGGGCAGGGCAGTGGGAGTTTCGTGTTCTTTGTTTCTATTCTAATCCTATGAAAAGAGGTAAAGCATCTTTACATGGAGTACACTATGACTGAACTATTGCTTTAGTGTACCATGATACTGAAAATACGGGGAGAGGGTGTGCAGAGGGTCATGGGAATTTCACCTGTTTTCTACCTTTGCCCAAGGGTGAATAAAAATAACTCCCGGGGCTAGCAGTAGAGTTCTTGCCTAGCATATGCAAACCCCTGTGTTTCACCCCAACACCCCTAAAACAAAACCAAAAATCTCCTGCTTGAACTTGGGTGGCATAGTTAAGAATATTAGAAACTCAGGAGTGAGAAGTTCAAGTACCTTGTGGGTGGAGATTTAAGTTGGCAAAGAAGACGGAAAACGTCGCTCTTCCAGGTCTCCGCCAAACTGCTCTGAAGCCGCGCTCCTTTTGCATAGAGCCAGGGAGTAAACTTGAGGCGCCGCGGAGCGCTCGCTGGGCGCACGGAGCACGGGATGCCAAGGATGGAGCTGGGTTTGGGAGCTCTCCATACACTCCAGTACCTGGCTCTCCTATTTTTTACTCTGTGTCGAATAGGGATTCCAGGAAACCAGAACCCCTTTGGCCGGGACTCTGTGCTGAAGTGGCGCCTACGGAATTCCTACACTACCTCTCTGAGAGACCCAGCAGTTAGGATCGTCTCCGCCCGGCTGGGGCGTGGAGGCCCGCGGGGACAGAGTTGCAGGCCCGACTCTTATTGGTGGGTTCTGCAAACTGCCCCTCCCACTCCAGCCCACCAGGTGCGGCTCAGCTCCGGGGGCTACAGTAGCCCGCCGACTCCGAGCTGCGCTCCGAAACTTCCAACCTGGGTCAGCGGACAGCCCAGGGTTGGCGAGGCGGGAGGGAGTAGTGCGCCGAGCGGAGCCGGACAGAAGGGTCCCCTTCTTTTTTCTCCCCTTGAAAAGAGGATCCACGAGGACTCCAGGCAGAAGAGACAAAGGAAGGCTGCAACCCAGAAAGGGAGCGGAAATAGAGCGACCTGGACCCTCTTCGATCCTTCCCTGGAACGCAGGGTTTCCTCTGCGCCCCCACCCGCCCCGTCCACGCGGAGGTCTCGGACCACGCTTAAGTCCCCTGCTCAGCAGCCCCGATTCAAGGAAGCATGGAAGCCCCCAGCCTCTCGGCCGCCACCCCGAGCGCCGCCCTTCTCGGGGCCCCGGAGACCTACAGCCCAACCCCAGGCCGAGGCATCGGGTCCGCCCCTGGGGACGCGGGCCTGCCTGGCCCGGAGCCTCCCTACTCTGTCTTCACCGTGCTAGTGGTGACTCTGCTGGTGCTGCTGATCGCCGCCACCTTCCTGTGGAATCTGTTGGTTCTGGTCACCATCCTGCGCGTCCGCGCCTTCCATCGCGTGCCGCATAACTTGGTGGCCTCGACGGCCGTTTCGGACGTACTAGTGGCAGCGCTGGTGATGCCTCTGAGCCTGATGAGGGAGCTGTCGGCCGGACGACGATGGCAGCTGGGCCGGAGCCTGTGCCACGTGTGGATCTGCTTCGACGTGCTGTGCTGCACCGCCAGCATCTGGAACGTGGCGGCCATCGCCCTGGACCGCTACTGGACCATCACGCACCACCTGCAATACACGCTGCGCACCCGCCGCCGCGCCTCGGCGCTCATGATCGCGCTCACCTGGGCTCTATCCGCGCTCATCGCCCTGGCGCCACTGCTCTTCAGCTGGGGCGAAGTGTATGACGCCGGGCTCCAGCGCTGCCAGGTGAGCCAGGAACCCTCCTACGCTGTCTTCTCCACCTGTGGCGCCTTTTATCTGCCTCTTGGCGTGGTGCTATTTGTCTACTGGAAGATCTACAAAGCGGCCAAATTTCGCTTCGGCCGCCGGCGCCGCCGGGCTGTGCTGCCGTTACCCGCCACTGTGGAGGTGAGGAAAGGACTGTGGCCTTGGGGATAGGGGAGCCTGGGGGAAGAGGGAGTTTGGTGAAAGGGAGAGTGGATAGAAGCCTGAACATTTGAGGAGCGCTGGCAAATGATGGCAGCCAACGCACCTAGAGTGCGCAAGGAGTTGGGGTCTGTTGTTTGGAAGAGCAAGGGACAGGCTTATCACCTGCGTTCCTGGCGCTCACCTGCGAGGTGCACGCTGGAGAAAGAGGAACGGGTTTAACTACTTGCACGTCAGGGTTGAAGCCCGAGCTGACATCACATCGCCAGGACGCTGCAGGGGGCTTGCAGGTGCAGCTTGCCTCCGCAGTGAGGAGGTCACATCTAATTAGCTGTGCTCTTCGTTTCTTTTCCTCTGGAGTGGTTGAGTGACACGGTGTCAGTCTTGGAGCCTCCAACTTTTTGGTCTCAGCTGGACCATGCAGGTCGGTGGGGACTAGAATTCGTCCTGCTGCACATGAAGAAATTCCTAAGGCCATTCTCCCTTTATTTCATTGCTTCCGCTGGACTCCAGTCCAGAGCCCATATTCACCAATTCTGCTGGCCAGCTCCCTACTGAGGGGAGAAGTGAGGACAACACAAGAGAATCCGAGGACCATTTTCCTTTGGTTATCCTGACCCCAGCACTATCCACTAGGGATTTTAGAAATAGAACCTTCCAATCCCATGTTATGATGGTTAAATAGTTGCTTAATTTCTATGTCCCTCTTTTCCCCATCTTTAAGCAAGTCAGTTGGCACTTTCACAAGGCTCTTGGTGAGGATTCCTGGAAATGAAGGATGTAAAGCACTCAGCACACCTGCTACACAGTGGGTGGCAGAACTGGCTGGAGAAAGGAGATCAATAGGGTGTTTGTTGCTTGGCAATCTGTAAGTGGAGGGAAGTTCCCACTGGAAGAGTAATGAGAAGAAGGGAACTTCATGTGGCAGATCTCCTCTCACTGTATTCATTATTTAGCAGGGAGATTTCTGCCTTTTGGCCCAACTCCCTCATCACCCTGGAAATCTAAATTTTTCCTTTTTTGGGGGAGACCCAGGTATTTCAAGTAACAAGTTCCTAGACTTAGACAGTAATGGATTTTATTTACTGGCCCTTTCCAAATACAATATATAGGCTAGGGAAGGTGTGCAGAAGGGATGGGGTGCAGGACAAGATTTTCTTGTTGTTAGTTTTAATTTTAGAAAATTAACCCAATGCTTAGGTTTCTGAGTGTGCTTTAAAGAGTAGGATCTTTGTCATTTAATGGCAGAGGAATTTGCAACATAAAATAGGAATGTCAAGACCATAATTGGAAAGTTGGGTATTTTGGGGGTTTTTTCTGTACCGGAGATTGAACTCAGGACCTTGTAAGGCAGGCAGCGGAACCACTGAGCTAAATCCCTGGCCCTATAATTGGAAAGTTTTTGGAAGAGAGCTTTATTCAGAATTAATGATGTTCTTTGAAAGATCCCTCAGAAAAACTTGGAATAATTATAGCTTTTCTCTCTGATTGCTGAGATAGAGTTGACTTTAATAGCTACATCAATCCAATGTGTTCCCAGAGAAACCATGGTGAAATAGACTCTGGGAAGGCTTGCCAAGCCTGATTGTAGTGTTCATTTTTGACAAACCCCATTTAGGCAGGTGACATAGGAAGAGCTGACTGAACAGGGGCTAGCCAGGCTGGGGCAGCTATCAGTGGGGAGAAAGAGCTGCAAGAGGCAGGGGCAGGGTTGTGACTTAGTCACTTGCTGGCAGTGGGACCTCGGCAAGTCCTTTTCCACTTTGGGCCTCCACTTCTGCTGTTGGCAGTATTGGTCTGCCGTGTCTAAGAGCTTTGAGTCATAGCATGCTGAGGCTGTAGATGAGATAGTGTCCTAGCACATCAGATTCTTGGGGCTCCAGTATGCTCTTACTCCAAATCCTGAGTGATATTCCTGAGCCAGCATTTGCAAGCCCTCTAGCTACCAGACACCCAAACAGACATTTCAAATAATGTGCCAGTAATACTATCTCTATAGCTTCCCACCACCTTTTTCTACACTTCAGTGGGAAATGAGCTGAATTTAAGTGTTATAAAGTGTCTGTGATAGAAGCCTGTGCTGATCAATATTATCAGAAAGGAGCCTGCAACAACTCCTGGACAGCGATTAATTCTTTGGACAAAATACGCTTTTTGAAAGTAGAATCCTTTGGCTTTTAAAATGTGATATCAAATGTTTTTGGTTGTGTGGGTTCTTATTTATCTTTTCAATTGCTTGTTTTATTTCTGTTCGCAAGTTGACACTAAGGGCTACTTATCTTTCCATACAGTAGATTTATCACCCAGAGTCATAAATCTATTTTACAGTGTTGTGGAAAAGTTTTGATTTTACTTCTTTTAAAATTAGAGCAAAATGGAACAAGGATGTAGCTCAGTGGCACCATGCCTGCCTGGCAAGCTCAAGGTCCTGAGTTTGATCCTGGTACCAGAAAAAAATTAAAAGAAAAATCAATATAATAGTAAAGAGTATATGATAATGAATCTAGCCTTGGTTTTATCAGGTTTTTTACTAATATGGTCTTACAATCAATTTGTAAAATTTTTAATGGAGGAAAGGATCCCTCAGCAAAGGAAACAGGCAGCATCCTTGGTTGATAAGCTTCATACAGTCTCAGTGAGCAAACACATATCAGGAGAGAGCATGCACTGTGGTTTAAAGCATAAGATTTGTTAAGAAGGAGACCAGGGTTTTTACTCATTTTGTGCCACTCATTAGCACTTCAGCCAAATGTCTTAAGTTTGTATTTCCCCATATGTAGACTGAAAATATCAGCTGTCTCATTCTATTCTTGTGGAGAGTAAATACGAGTATATGTGGAGTACTTCAAATAGTAAATGAGAAATTACCTCAAAGCTTAGTGTCTTAAAACAATAAATACATGTTAGCTCACACTTTCTGGGAATGGCCTAGCTGAGCAGTTCTGGCCTGAGGTCTTTCATGGTGCAGTCATGATGTCAGAAGGACTGACATCATTGGAAGGCAAAGACTTGGAAGACTTTCCTTCCATGATGGCTTACACACATGGTTCTTGGAAGGTGGCCTCAGTTTCACGCTGAAAGGACATCTTCATAGGGATGCTTGAGTGTCTTCATAATATGCCAGCTAGCTTCCCTCAGAATGAGCAATCCAGATGAACAAAGCAAGGAGGAACTGCAATGCCTCTTATGATCTAATCTTAGAAGTCATACATGATCACTTCCACTACACTCCATTCATTAGAAGTGAGTCAGTGATCCCAGCCCACATGTGTGGGGAAGGGGACTTCAGCACCATCCTTGGGAGAAGTATCAGTCAACCTGTGGACATTTGAACATGATGGCTGACTTACCCCCTATTCATCAGGCAATGAGAGGTAGCCTCTGAGATTTTAAAGAATGAGTAAGCTGGGATTTATTGTAGTAGACTATTAATTACAGAATTGATAAATGCAATGAAATCGTATCACTGCCATGCTTAGGCATTCTAGGGTTCAATGGTGCCCGTGTATAGGGAAGCATTTTATAATGTAAAGAGAAAAATAAATATGTATTACTTCCTGAGCTATAGGTTTTATGTCACTTTGGAGCTTGGTCTTAGATACTGCTGAATCACTAATATTTGACTTCCTAAACCAATCCTCTATGTTGATATTTTGTTTGAACCCTAACCTGCAGCCATAAAGTTTGTGTGTTGAGAGTCCTCAGTGACCGGAAATCTGTACCTAGACCCTTTATATTTGTTTATTTTAAATTGGCTAATATATATGTGAATATTTATGGGAGTACTATATTAATTTTCTATAGCTATAATGAAATATCAGGGCTTGGGTAACTTATTAAAGAGGAGGTTTATGAAGCTCACAGTTTTGGAGGCTGAAGGTCCAAACAGCACTGTGCTGACTTTGCTGACCCCCCCACCCCACCCCACCCCACCCCAGCCTCAGAAAATGATGTCACACCACAAGACACAAAGGCAGACAGCAGTTCAGGAGGAAGGTGACTCTCATAATCCACATCTCCGAAGCTAACAGGGGTCTCACAGGAATGCTGAATCCCTTCTCAGGTTGCACCTTCATAACTGAATGAGCTCACCCCACCTCTTCAGAGTTCCTCTGCCTCTCAGCATTGCCACACCAGGGACCAATCTGCCAATATATGAACCCTTGTGGGACAAACCACATGTGAACCATGATAGATACGATGTGGGAGTTTCACACACACATGCACAAATTGTGGAATGATTATATCAAGGCAGTTAACATATTCATCTCTTCATATATTTATCATTTTTGGTAATGAAAACATTTAAAATATATTAGCAATTTTTAAAAAGGTTATTGCTAACCTTGCTATGCTATAGATCTTTTTAAAAATTAATTTTATTGGTACATTTTAGATATAAATACTGAACATATTCATCATAGGAATCTGTACTTATACATGATATGTCTTGATTCTTCTTTCTTCCCCAATCCTCTGCCCTCCCTTCAACCCCTCTTCTCCTTATTTCCAAAAGCTTGTGTTTCCATTTTTTCCTTCTATTCTTTTTCTCTTTTCCCTTTGTTCCTCCCCTCCCCCTTATTCCCCTTCCCTTTTGAACATTTTCTTCCCATTTTCCAATATCTGTTATACATTTTGGTCATTATTTACCCTTCAGTTTCTCACAACAGAGAAACAATGTGGTATTTAAACATGTGTCTGATTGATTTCACTTAAGAGTATGGTCTCAAGGTCCATCCATTTACCTAGAAATATCTCAAGTTTACCCTTCTTTATGGCAGAGTATTACTCCACTGTATAAAAACCTCGACATCTTTATCCATGCATCAGTTGATGTGTGTCATAGATCTTGAAAACTTATTTCTCCAGTCTAAGTGGAACTTTGCATCCTGTAGTTAATACCCATGTCTCACCCCATACCTACACACTACCCCAGTCTCTGTAACCATCATGATACTCTAATTCTACAAATTAGACCTTTA